CCCCCCCCCCCCCCCCCGTTAGTCATGTTCTTACCCCAGTAAAACTATACCTTTTTCACTCACCTGTGCTCCTGTTAAGGTATGGGCTGAACGTAAATCCTCATCTGGTCCCTTATCTGGAAAAGTTGCATGGAAGATCTCTCCTGTTTTAACGTTCACAGCTGGGGGGAGAGCAGTTATCAGTTACCAATGACTTATATCCATCTACCCACACACACTGCGTTCCAAACAAGCAAAACCAAGACACAATAACCAGCAAACTTCAGCGCCAAATCAAGCAACTTATGTCAAAGGCATTGATAAAGAAATGTTGCATTTAGCCCCTAGTTTGCTCTATTTTCACAATGCTGCCTAGGGAGGTTTCTAATCTTCCAGAGGAAAGTTTAAAGCAGCGGATCTCAACATTTTTAGACCTGAGAAAAAATGCTAGCTCTTAGTTTTCACTTATTTTTTTACTACAGGAGAAATTCTTCTGTTACAAAGAGCTCAGAAAGACCACAACAGGTCAGCGTGGTTTTAACACTATGGATTCCTAAGTGAAGCCTCTGGGTCTGTTTTGTGAATCAAATTTGCACACCAACCTGTGCTAACATGTGTCACCCCTGAAAGGGTCTCAAAGCACCCTGCTTAAGAATCACTTTTTTAAAGGATACTGCTTATTTGAAAATAAGACCCCACCAAGTTTTGTTCCAATGATGCTGCACTGTTGGTAGATAAGAGAGGAACAGAAAAATTAACTAAGCACAGTGGAAAGAAGTTTGGTTTCTAGACAGACTAAGGAACAAGTGGCACCACAGAACAGCTCCTTTGCACTCTACTGTCTGCCTATTAAAGAAGGTGAAGAAAGCCAGGGGCAATGAGACCTGTGCATTTCTGGAATGCCAGGGGCATCTCCCCAACAGCAGAACTACTGCTGTCAAGTAGAGCCAGGCTCCAAGTCCTACTACCAGCAGTGCTGTCCTAACAAGCTGTATTAAATCCTGTGCATTATGGTATTACTTGCATTAGCAAACTTTGGGAGAATAGCACATTTACTAGAAAATCGGAAATACAGTCAGTGCCCAAGTTGTGCTATACTCACCAATTCCATACACAATTGGGAAATGATTGTCCTTCTCCTCCCTGTCATTTAATTCTATTACAAACAGAACAGACATGATGTTCATTTTAGCAGCCATCCAGCAGGATATTCATTTATTTTCAAGCAGCATTAATGTAGTCTTACTCAGGGAGAGGCCCATGCATTGCAAAGGGAGAGAGAGAGGTCCAAGCATTGCAAACACAGTGTGTGGACAATGTAGAACCAACCTATAACATACTATTATCACATGAACTAGATCCATGCCCTAAGAAGGTGAAAAGTGAATCAGCCCTTCAGGACTAAAGGGCCCTGGGGAAGGGCATCATGGGCGAGAGCTCCTGTGCTGGGCTGTGGTTGGCTCTGCCCAAAGCCCCTAACCCCTTAACTTCATGAGCAAGAAATTTCTAAGGGTGCGCTGATAAAGAATGTTTGGGCCAATACCAATGGCTGATTATTAATGACCCATATTGGCCGATACTGATATGATTGCTGATGTTCCTCAAGATCAAGACCCTCCCATATTGTTTCAGGGCTTGAACAGCTTCTTATGAGTAGAAAAACATTAAGTCTCTCACCTGTCACGCAGTAAGTCACTAAATGGACATCATCTTGCTGGAGGTCAAAAGCTCCTACAGCAACAACAGCAGCAACAGGGTATAAAACTGCCTCATGTCAAAGCACACACTGTACTTAGATTAGGGGGTAGGTCAGCATTATGTACTGTAAATTAGATGGGCAACCCGGTCTGCCAGCAGAAAAAATGTCTAGTCCACTGTTCCTGGCATAGATAATCAATCAGCATGGGGTTTTTTTGTTTGTTTTTACAGGGATGGCTCAATATTTTCTTCTTATGAAATAATCCTTAGCTAGTGCACCTTGCATGCAACTGTCTGCTAGCAAGGATCAAAACTTATTTGTTGAATGAGAAAGACTTTCATCAACATTTTATGCCTTTCTCTGGCACTGTAGGATCTCTGGCTTGCTTTACTATACAGTCAGCAGAACTCACTGTTTAACTGTCCTTTTTACTTTAAATGCAAGCAAAAGCCATTTTTTCTCCTTTTTGAAGTTCTAATATAAGAGCTTCCTTATTTTATAGTCAGAGCATAGGTTTAGAAAATTCCTTCGCCAAACAAGAAGGCTCTCTCTTTTGGACTATTAGCCCACAGTCAAATCCTCCAGCCTCCACACACATACAGACACACACACCAATAAGGAAGGAGGACTCATTAGCTGAGTGGCAGAGATGCCTCTCAGAATACTTCCTCTGCCAACCCCAACCCCCTTTAGACAACCTTTGCTGGTCCTTGACTAATCACAAAGTGTGTCCAACTCCTACTGGTTTCAACCAGGGCCAAGGGCCCCCCAAAATTCACTGAAGGTGCTCAGCTTCTTCAGGTTAGACCACTTGGGGCCAGGATGTGTGTTTCTGGTTTATCTGTGAGTGGCATGTACGCTTCTGATGCTACAGGCATAAAGGTACATAACCTTTATGGGAGGATTTCAAGACACTGATTAAATCTCACACCCCTTCCCCCATAAGATGGATACTATCAATTTTATACATGAATAAAACTTAGATACAAGACAGATAAGAGACTTAACCAAGATTATGTAACCTGCCAGTAGCAGAGGCAGGAATAAATCCACCCATCTTGTTTCTTAATATCCTGCTCCAACAGACAAGCCAAGAGCAAATCACTATTTAAAAAGTCCACATCCTCCATCCTGTACATCACACAGATATAAATCTCACAATCCCATGCCATACTTTAAGTTCTCAGATGGAGAAAAACAGTGATTCCATATTTCTTTCTGTTGCATGATGGGAGATTCAGATCACACACAAAATTTGCCCCAATCCAGTCAGAACTCTAGGTTTTGGACATGAGAGTGGAAAAAATGTGAACTTACTAAGAAGCTGATTAGTAAGTTTTTGTGATAAATGCCTATCATCATTGAAACCTCCAACTAGGTGCACTTCCAGCCTAACAAAGATGGAACAACAGGAAACAGCAATTAAAAAAAAAAAGACATCCCAGAGTGAAAAGCTTTACATTATAATCCCCAGCCCACAATGTAAATGATCATTAGAAAGGGCTCTTTTGTTTATCAAATGCTCCAGTTGTTTGCTTATTAGGTCATGGCTCCATGCTCTAAACATAATAGGGAATATTATGCTCACAATATTATTATATTGTGAGCAACACGAACTATGGCACTGAGTACACGCAGCCCTTACTTTAATGGTATCTAGAAGCACTCATGCCCTTAAATCACAAAAACTGGGACAAAGGTCAATTAAATACAAAGTAGCCTCACTCCAGTGACTTCCCCACCACTACCTCAGACCCTAAGACAGGGCTCTCCTCTGGGAAGTGTCCATAAATACAATCCACTTACTCAGGGGTCAACAGCCTACTGCCTGCGGCCCAGATCTGGCCCGCAAAAAGGTTAGATCCAATACAGGGGATTGGTGGCGCACACATATGCTATGCTGTGCCACCCATGCCCACCTCAGCCCTCCCTGCTGCTCACTGACACCTGTGCTTACCCTCTCCCTTCTCCATTGCCCCTGGGGACAGGGATAAGCAGCTAGGGTACGTGTCTGCAGCTCAGGCCCCTCAGGGGGTGGATATTTGCAGCCCACAACCACAAAGGCTGCCGACAGCCACACTTTATTCAAGAGATCTGCCCCCAGGGTGAAGTTTTCAAAGATGACTAGTCACCTTTGTCAGTTCTGAGTGCTCAACTTCAAATGAAGGGGCCCAGTTATCAGAGTGCTGAGGATTTACCATATGAAAACCATCCCCTTCAAATGGAGTTGGCTTGTGAAAGTTCATTATCTGCCAACTAAGCTGTTTTTACTTCTGTTGGGTACATACAGGCAAACAGACAAAAAGGATGGAGCTGTATAGTTTTATGTCTCCCACATCATCAACTAAGAAAGACTGTGAGAGCCAGAAAAGTCCTACATAAATCCTCAAATCTCTGTTTAGAACAAGGAAGGAAAAACTACAAAACAAAATGCCATTTATGAAACTAAGCACATTTGAAACAAAAGTCACCAGAAGACAATAAACATGGGACTAAACAGTGACATTTTTAAAAAGAGACTATTTGCAAGCTTTATATCAAATCACTGCTAGAAGGAAATCTAAAACAATGAATTAATCGATACAAAAAAATTCACAGTTCTCAGCAAGTTTAGAAAAGGGAAAGTTATTAGCTGTATTATAATGTCATTAGGAACACAAATATCAGGAAACTGCAGAAAGAGCTTCTTATAGAGATGTTTACTTGCTCATATTGGGCAAGCAGTTACTGTCATCTGAGTCCCTAATGAGCACACTTAGAACTTCCCACCTGAAAGACTGTAGCAACCTTGGGAAATGATGCACACAAGAAACAGAGCAGAGCTGACCTTCCACATTCTGCGTTGCTAGAAAAAGACTTTACTGCACTCATGATCAGTAACACCTCAGCTTCTGTGTCTGATCCATCAAAGTGTGTCAAGCAGGTAGCCCCGCTGCCTGAAAGGCAGAAAATGAGAAAACGTTCACCTGATGGCAGACCTCACATCATGCAAAGCACCATTAACACCACCACCGCTGCTTTGTTATTCTTTGTATCAGTGCAGTGAGAGCACAGCCATTTTACAGGAAAAAGCCACCAAAAGGGGTTAAGTGACTTCTCTCAGATCAGGCAAATGAACCTGCAGAGGCACAAGAAGAACCTAAGCTCCCTCAATTTCCTGTAGTCACCCATAAGTTGCTTTCCTGCGTAACTTGTAGCTACAGCAAGGAATCTGAATTCCACCCCATCAATTATCAATAACCCAGCAGCCTCCAGGGGGTAGGATTAAAAGGTCTTGCACAGCTTTTGTTCACAGTGCCGAGGCCAACACAGGTTGGGAAGTATAACGCCAATAAAACTAAGCACCCAGGGAAGCTTAAAGCATCAAACTGAAATAAAGGGCGGCAGGTTATTTGAGAAATACAGGCCTCCTTTACCATACCCGTATGCCTGAGCACCACCAAGTGGCAGGTCGTCGCATCGTCCGATCCAAGAATGGAAACGGAGCCTATTTTAACGAAGAGAAAGACACTAAGATCCAGCCCTGCTTGCTTCTTCGACATTGAAGGTTATCATCACAGTTTCGCCTACCATCTTCAGGGGTGGTCACTGCAAACTCTCTCTGCTGGATGTACAGAAGGCCTTTGGGTCCCACCGTCTGAACAGGCTGGCTTGTGAGAACTTTTGCCTTCTCCTAAAAATAAAACAGAGGCAAAAGTGACTGAAGGTGCGGCCAGCACTGAGGTGCACACGGTCAAGGGAGGGCTCCGGGCAACCAGAAACCCTCAGAGCACTTCCCAAATGGGAACCGGTGGATCCCACATCACCCAGAGCAGAGGGACCGCCGTGGAGGCGCAGAGGAGGACGAGGCGCCAGCGGGGAGGGCCCGGCGCCCCTGCCCGAAGCCTCCCAGCGCCGGGGGGACAACAGCCGGAGCCCTGGGGCGCCCCAGCGCAGCCCCCGCCCTCACCACCAGGTGCGGGTGGGCTCGGAGCAGATCCCCCGCGGGCCGCCCCAGCTCCACGCGCTGCCCCCGCACCAGCAACGGCATCTCGGCCGCGCCCGGGCCCTGCG